AAAAAAAAAAAAAAAAAAATAAACATTTATCAAAAGCATTCAAATAAAATTTATTTAATTATTAAGTAACAAACTTTTTATTTAAAGATGCCGAAAGTTAATTGTGCCGTTATTGGTTGTGCAAATAGTACATATAGGTTAAAAAAATGGAAAAAAGAAATATGCAATGAACACCATCAAAATATAAGCAGAGAGGAATGCTCATTATGTGAAAAGCCATTTTTATTATACAAATTTCCATCAGTTAATCAGAAAAATAAAGAAAGACAATTATGGGTGAAAGCGTTAAGAAGAGAATTTATAAATAAAACATTATGGCAGCCAACAGGTAGTGATAGGGTATGCTCTATGCACTTTGTTGATGGAATTCCTTCAACTGCAAACCCTACGCCTACTTTATGTCTTGGATATGAAATACAAGCTAATAAATCTAGAAGAAAATTATTAAAACACCCTATACCATTAAAAAAGCAAAAACTTGACTGCACTGCAACTACAAGTTGTTCGACTTTTATGACGCTTGCTTCAGGACAGTCACCTCATTCTAATGATGTTTTAACAGATTTATATGAAGAAAATAATTTACCATTAGCAAATGTATCATTTTTCTTGCCAGTATCTGATCATTCGTATTGCTCTCTACAATCAAGTAAAGTTTGCAAAGTATGTGTTGACAAGAGCAATTTAATCGAATCACTCATCAGTAAAGTGAACACTTTAACATTAACTTGCCAAAAATTAAAGCGTCAAAAGTTATTTCATAGTGTTAAAAGTTCAGTATTTACATGGGAAAAAATTTAAACTGATGCTAAAATGAACTTTTACACTGGTTTATCAACAATCAAATTATTTGAGAATTTGTTTCTACTAATTAAACCATATTTGCCAAATTTAGTTTATTCGTCTGGTCCAAAAAAGTTTACCAATTCTAAAAACCAAAAAAAATATGCTTCAATGAAAAAATTTAAAAAACTATCACAAAGAGATGAGTTTTTACTTGTTTTAATGCGATTAAGATTAGGTTTTCTAAATCAAGACTTAGCTGATCGTTTTGGCATATCCCCAGCATTGTGTTCTCGTACATTCACAACTTGGATTAAATGTTAAGTCAAGTTTAGGACAAGCATTAGTTGTATGGCTTCCACGTGAATCTATTCGTAACAATCTGCCACCTGTTTTTGTGAAAGCTGGTTATCAAAAATGTAGAGTGATTCTTGATTGTGCAGAATTGTTTGTAGAGCGTTCAAAGTCCCTTGATAAGCAATCAAACACCTGGTCAGAATATAAGCATCATAATACATTTAAATTTTTAATAGGTGTTAGTCCAACTGGATATATTACATTTCTTTCTTCGTGTTATGGTGGAAGAGCAAGTGATAGGTTTATTACAAGAGATAGTGGTATATATAATCTACTAGAGAGAGATGATGAAGTTATGGCTGATCGAGGTTTTCAAATTCAGGAAGATTTAATTTTAAATTTCTGTACTTTAGTTGTTCCACCTGGTGCCCGCTTGAAAAGTCAATTAACCACCAAAGAAGTTCAAAAAACTAAACATGTTGCAAATCTAAGAATACATGTAGAGCGAGCTATTAACCGAATTAAAACATACAGAATTCTAAATGGAAGTATGTCAATTAGCATGCTGCAACATGCAGATGACATTTTACTAACATGTGGTGCACTTTGTAATTTAAAACCAAAACTGATAGCAGACCCTAAACCAAAAATAAGTACTCATTAAGTAAATTTTTTGTTGAGTCTTTTTTTAAAAAAAAAGGTTTTTTGTTTTTGTTTTATTATTACTTGTACATGTATTGTATTTATTAATGTACCTTTGGGTGTTGTTATTCGGTCTTATCTCCTCAATGATGTATAAATGTTCTTAACTTTGCAGGAACTTTTTTTTATTAAAATTTATTAATTCTTTACATTAATATCTTATTTCTATCTTATTTATTATTAAAGTTAGTTATTTGTAAGATATATGGTGTGATATTTTTTAATGTTTTCTCCCCTTCTAATGCATAAAGTATTTTATGATTTTAACTATTTTTACTATAAAACTATTTTTATAGAATCATAAAAGATTCTATTTTTATAAAACTTTTTTGGTATGTAACTTGTAGTTTTCCTATATTTTTAAAGGCAATTAAGGAACTAAAATAATATTTTAAAAAAGAGGAAACAAAGGAACTCAAATATTATAGAGGTTGATTGGTTAATAGGAGGTAGAATAATTTACATATAAATCTCTATCGCTGTATTTAGTGGACACAAAACAAATCTAGTACCTTTTTTTAAAGTTGAAGGATCTTCAAATTTAAAATCAGCTACAGGCAGCATAAATTATAGCAACGACACTGATTTTCGCAATAAGGAAATTAATCTTTTGGCTTAGACAGTAATGACTTTTTTTTAGGGGTTCCATAAGCATATTGCCGATTTAAAAAAAATTGATTTTTTATATTTAAATATACCTAGTCAGAAAATATTTTCTGACTAGGTCAAACCATGTCCATATTTGCCAACTAAAAATCAAGACTGGGGTGGGGAGAGATGTTTCACCTCAGCGGAGGCAGAGCGTTTTTAAAAGTGGGGCAGGGGAGGGGGAAGCATTCCAATTTCGCCCCTCCCTTCTCCGAATGTTTTAGGAGCAGCCGTGGTGCAGTAGTCAGTTCGCTTACTTTAGAGGTTAGAAATAAAGTTAATTTTAAATAATCTTTGTTTCTGTTAATTTAAAAAAGTTCAGGGGGCTAATAACAAGGTTCTTTGACTAAATTTTGAGTTTCATTTCACGAATATTATTGTCATTGTATGACATCAGGGTAAAAATAATCTGAAAAATATCTTTAAAGTTAAGGAGGAGGCAAAAGCTACTTAAATGAATAGTGTGAGGTTGCGCATGGCCCTCTCCACTATCACTTACGCCGCCGCTGTTACGCCCCTATCGCCGGTCCTGACTTCTTCAACTGTTACTACTTCTTTGGGTGTTGAGGGGTAGATGCCTTCACTTACAAAATTCGTTATTTTTTTTCAAAATTTGTTATTTCTTTTCAAAAATTGTTAATTATTGAAACAAAACGTAAAATCTCAAAAAGTAAAAATACGAACCTACAATAGCAGTATTTTACTTATTACCTTTTGACCGTATAAATTTTATGAAAGTATAAAAAAATCGAGTCCCCACAGGAGCAGTGGCTTAAGACCTCTTGAGGCCTGGGGCTATATTTGTTTTTGGAGGTCTTTTTTATGGGCCAGAGCCTAACAATGACTAGAAAAAAAAAAAGGTCCTCTAAAATTTTTTGGGGCCTCTAAATTTACGGGGCCCGGGGATATAGCCCCCCCCTCTTGATTCGGCACTGCACAGGAGGGGTAAGAATAGAAACATCACGTTACTTTGATAAAAATAAACTTGATAAAAATAAACTACAAAATCAAAGCAAAACCTTCTTAATAAAATTTAAATTATAAAAAGACCATAAGAACTTAAACTATATGTAAAGATGGTAAAAGTTAACTTGTATATATTATGGTTGTATAAATAGCACATATAGGTTAAACAAATGGGGGAAAAAATTTTGTAAAGATTTATATTTAAATTGTGTCCCCCAACATTACAACATAAATTTATCCTCAAACAATACAATGTCGCAGTATTATATATTTTATCCTAACATTACAAAATCAATTTCATTAAGAAAAATAATAATATATTATCTACTATCATAATAAAATTAGAGGAAGATCATAATTAGTGGCATTAGAGCAAAAAACTAAGTTTTTAAAAATATGCTAAAAACCTAAATATAAAAGAATTTTTGAAAAGATTTAAATTAGGTGCTAAAAATAGATTTTAAATAGTAATCTTTATAATAATTAATAAATTTTTCCTTTAACAAACTCCACAAAGATACATCAAAATCAATTTTATCTACGACTATGCCATGTGGGGTCCATACAACAAAGTCTGTAACACTAAACTTTGTAACAGCCATTTGCATCATACATTGGGTGTAATAAGTATGGTTAGTTTTGAGTTTTATATCAACACCCTTTTTTATTAAATATGGTAAATTTAATTCTGTTGGTGCAGTAAAATTAATCTTGTAAGGACATTTCACCTCAATACATGCATTAGGACAGCAATCACATGACATTATTCGGTCTGGACTTGCTCCAATGTAAGGATGTTCATAATCAAGGTATAGTCCACATTCATTTAAATCAAGATTTTTATGATGTCCTTTCATTTTTACATAAAATGCATTCACAGCTTCAACTTCCATCGTACGCCCATATTTTAAGGCTGGAATATTAGGGTTAGTAAATGTCAGCCCTGATATTTTTTGGTTAAGTGACCAAAAGTTATGGTAGCCAACAACAACTTTTTTAATTTTATCCATACTCGTTGCTACCTCGTGAGCTTTAGAGGCAGTTATAACACTTTTTCGATAGTGATACCAATTTTCATTTTTATTTTGCCCTCGTGTTACTAATTCTATTTGTTTTATATTTTCGGCTGACATGTTTACTTCTAAACCTGTAAAAAACTCACAACACGAAGAGGTAGAAATTAAGCTGTCAATGCTTGGCAAATCAACTGGTGGCATATCAACTGTTGTCAAAACTTCACGAATAAAGTCTATTTTTGGTTTTGGAACAGCAGTAAACAAAATGCTTGTTGGCACAATTTTCTCAAGAGCAGAAGCTACATCATTGATTTTTAATAATTGTACTGTATTATTTGATAGAGGATTATATTTTTCTTTTTGTGTATCTACTAACTTTCTCTTTTTTTTACCTCTTTTGCCAAAATCTTCACGACTAAAGTCAAGGTCTTTGATTTTAGAAGACGCTACTTCTTTTCTAGATGGCAGCCATTCATTTGACGTGCTTGTACATGCAGGGTTAGTTAATCCATTTCTTACTGCAGCTTCTATTCTATACATTGCTGCAGCAACATGGTTACAAGTTTGACCCATGCCAGCCATGCATGT